TCTCTCTCTCTCTCTCTCTCTCTCTCTCTCTCTCTCTCTCTCACCCCCGCTCCCACCCCCACCCCCATTGTGGGACAGGCTAGAACAAGAGGGCATAGATATAGAATGAGAGGAGTTAGGCTCAAAACTGAGAATCAGGAGAAACTACTTCTCGGAGGGTCGTGAAACTGTGGATCTCACTGCCTCAGCGCAGTAGAGACAGACTCAATCAATCAACACATTCAAGAAAGAAATCGATATGTTTCAGATGAAAAACAGGATATGGGGAGCAGGCAGGAAAGTAGAGTTGAGACCAAGATAAGATCAGCAATGATCATGTTAAGTGGCAGAGTGGACTCAAAGACTGAATTTCTTACTCTCGCTCCTGATTCCTGTATCCCAATGGGTGTTAACCACTGAATTGTAGTCCGTCACTGCTGTGCATGTGCTCCAGCTTTCTCAGCCTCAGATAAGGTTCGCTGCAGGATGAAGTCTCTCATCTCACAACGAAATGAACTTTGGGAGTTAGCAGAAACTGGCCTCAGATGCCCCAGCTGCATACCTTGCAGCAAGGACTGTGCAGTATGTTCCTCCATCCTGCTGATCTACCACTCCTGTCATTAATTCAAGCCACTTTTTTTTTTTAAAAAAAAACACATCCTTGAGTTCCATCCCTCCCTGACTTCACTCCTTGGATTCTTGGGTGCTGTAACTCCAGACCTTCCATCTCCAAATCCTTATTGCTCCTCTTCACCCCTTCTGTCCATTCCCTGGCTGTCCTCAGCTTCAAACCCTCTTTCACATCCCACCACCTGCCTCCCATAACTGCCCCTCCCAGCCTGTCTGCTTTTTCTGTTAAGCTGCTCAGCAAATGTTGTTCATTCAATGTTTCTTATCTTCAGCTGCTTCCATTGAGCCAGGCTTTAAACAAAATGGGGTGGGCTTGTCTCGGTGAGTGTTTGGGCCCCTCCCAGTGAGGGGATGGGGTGGTGATACCCTGTGAGTGTTTGGATCACTCCCAGTGAGATGCGTTTCTACCTGAGCTGTGCTGAAGTGGGAATGCCATGTTGAAACTGCACTAACGTTTCTCCCGTCTGTTTTGCAGTTTCGGACACTGTCTATGGTCTCGGAATGTTTGTTCTCGCTCATCAATGGGGATGACATGTTTGTAACGTTCTCTCAAATGCAACAGAAGAATACACTGGTATGGCTGTTCAGCCAATTGTACCTATACACCTTCATCAGTCTCTTCATCTACATGGTCCTCAGCCTCTTCATCGCCCTCATCACTGGCTCCTATGAAGCCATAAAGGTTCGTAGTAACTGGACCGCCTGTAGATTGTTGCATTTTGATTGGAATCATTTAGATGCCTTTAATGGAAGGTTAGTCAACTACAATGAGTAGTAGGAATGGGAGGATTTGTCAGTGGGGTGAGGATAGACATGGACTGGGAGCTATTTGGATTGAATGGTCTGTCTCTGCGATGAATGTCTGTTTTGATTTAAATATAATTTTCTACACTGTAAATTATATATTCTTGTGTTAAAATGCATTACACACCAACTTGCGGTGCTGTGGGAGGGGTGCAGAAAGGGAGGGAATCACAGCCGTTATGAAGGGTGACAGTGGCTGTTAAACTGGGTAATTGCGTTTATGCCAACACGCACCTTTACTGGGGTACACACCTAGTGGAGATTTTCTCTGTACAAGTAAAAACCACTGATGCTCTGAAGGAATCTCCAGTGTGCTGGGGCTCAGGCTATTGGAAACAGCAAAAACAAACAGGCTTCTCATCTCCCAATAAAGTGTCATTTTGCAACGGTTTGTAGTGTGACAGTATCTCCATCAGTACTCCCTGGGTCAGTGGAGGATTTTGGATTGTTTTTGATAGGAGAGCAAGGAAATTCCTAAAAACCCTGACCACCACCATCCTTCACGCTGCTGCAACGTTGTGTAATCTGGCCGTGTGCACCCTGGCTGCTGTGTTTGGTTATCTCGGAGTGCTTTTGTAATTGAAGACATGTGATCTACAAGCCCCTTTCCACTTTCCCATGTACGGTCAAAGTTTCAGGGGCTGGCTCTACTGCTAGACAATACCCCTTGGCTGGATTGTCCCTTAGCCTATGGATAGCAATACAGCTGTGCACAGTGTGCTACTGAATGGTGGGGTACAGGGGTGCTGATGTGGGGTAGGCTCTGTACTCCAGCCCTGTGAAAGTGTTGTTGCAGCGAGCACAATCATTGACCGGTGTGACCGTTTCTAAGGAAGCTGGTGCTGCTGCCCCCAGCACAGTGACCTCAGCACATCCACAAGCAACTAACATGTAAAACCAGCGAGATCCTGTTTGCAACCATGTAATACCTGTTATATGATGTTGATTGAGGGGTAAATATTGAACAAGGACACTGCTGGTAATTCCAGTGTGCCTGGTGTTACTGTCTCCTCTGCTGACCGTGTTATTTTTCTTGCAGCACCATGGGATCAGTGGGGTCCGTCCCCTGGAACTGCGTGAATTCATCGCTGAGTGCACAGACGCTCCAAGCTCTGGCAAATTCCGGGAAGTGGAGAGTTCGGTCTGCTCCTTTTTCTGCTGCTGTGACAGGTAACGTCGGAGACGGTGAGAGAGTTGTTTCTGTTCAGCTGCTCTGTATAGGCCTCCCTCTGATCCTCACTGCATCCCCAGTCTGGGAGGAGGACGAGTGGGCCAGTGAGGGCTCAAACCCACAAGTAGGAGTCCGCAAATGGTTAATTTGTGACATCTAAAACAAAGAAGTTGCTAGAGACTTATTTTTCCTCCACAGATGCTGCCAGGACCTAAATTTCTCCAGCGATTTCTGTTTGAAATTTTCCTCCTGACATCCCCTGGTCCAGAATAGGAGCATAATTAGGTCATTCAGCCCCTTGATCCTGTTTGGCCTGTTCAGTTGGTGCTACCCTGCAATGTCGTTAATCACCTTTTAACACCACAACAAGCTGTTGCTTCTCTGTACTCGGAGGAATGCAAGTTTACTTTGTGTAATCTGTGCTCATAATTTAGTCTTTTGAACCTTGCAAGGTAAACACCGCCCCCCCACCCCCAACTCTGGGATGTACCCTTCCCCATGACACAGTGAATACCAGATTGAAGCTTACAGAATGGGTAGCAGTCTGTTTTCAAGTGGCATTAATCAGAGAATTGAAGACAGTCTGAGTACCACTCTGACCAATCAAAATTGTACCAATGCGTCTCAAGTGCCCATTCATGGCATCATGAATGGTTGATTGCGAGGTAGGCCAGTTAGTGAGAACATTTCTAAAGAGTACTTACAGTAACAAGATCAGCCATATGATCTTTCTCATACCTCTGTCTGTCTCTGATCACTAAAGAGTCGTAAAGTTTATTGAACCTGGTATTCCCAATCAGTCTCCCATTCAAGTGCTGACCAAGATTTATAATCATCAGATCAGTGGGGTTGGGAGCATTTTTATTCACGGGATGTGGGTGTCACTGTCTGGCCCAGCATTTATTGCCCATCCCTACTTGCCCTTGAGAAGGTGGGGGTGAGCTGCCTTCTTGAACCGCTGCAGTCCATGTGCTCTGGGTTGACCCACAATGCCCTTAGGGAGGGAATTCCAGGCTGTGATTTGGATCAGTGTTGATCCCAGCATGATTGGGAATGGTGACAAATTGTTCTGTGTGGCTTCGGGAGCTGTCTTTTGTGACAGAATCTTTTGTCTGAAAATGTGCTTATCTTCACTCCCTTCCCACAGGATGATGACTTATGAGGACACCCTGTTGGTGAACTGACTACAGCATCTGCTCCAAGGTGCTGCTGGGACCTTGTGCGGTAATTCCAGCTGGCCGTGTGCAGTGTACAGCAACCGAAACCTTCCAGTGAAATGGCTAGATCAGCAAAGGCATGCCTCCCGTGTTCGTAAAAAGCTGAATAGCTCAAAGGAACACTCGAATGGAAATTCCTTCCTCCAATTAACTGATGAAATGAATGGCTGGCTGGCAGGTTTATTGTAAAGAAGAATATTTTCACATAGAGGTTTTAATTTAACATACAAAGGGAGCATTACTGTAAGACAATCATGTTTATTTAATTAATTCAATGACTTGGAGGCATTGAAATCTTTTTCTTCCTCATATTCCGCTGGCTGGATAGGAAATGACATAGACTTGACCAGACGGCTATTGCTGGAAGCTTGAATCATTATCCAATGTGTTGAAAAGCATTCTCTGCTAAATCCTTGACTTGTCCTTCTCTGACAATAATCTTTTCCTCCTTCCAGCCACGTCAATGAACTGGATTAATGTGTTGGTAAACAGAAGCTGTGTAGTCATCAGTGATGTTGCTGTAATCCCAAAAATAATCAGTCTGTTGGCCTTTCCTCCTTGTGAACCTGTCCCATGATTCATTTAGATCCTGGGTGATCAATCAATCAACTTCTGTTTACATGGTACTTCTGTAATCTTAAAGACTCTGATTGCACCATCCTTAATCTTCTGTTCTGCGGACCTGTATGTTCAACTTAATCCTTTTAGCCTTGCTATCATGCTGGTAAAAGTGCATTGTATAAATCTCTGAGGCCAGTATACCCTTCATTGTCAGGGCTGAATGTAGTATGTCCAATTTTTGTTGGCTTTCTAGGTTTTTGTTACTTGTTTTCCTATAAGTCCAGTCATTATCTGGAAAGTCCAGTTGTTCAGGGGACTGTTTCTCCATCGTGAACAGGTCACTTTGCAAGTCCATTTTCCGCGCTCTGTGTGCTCTGGTCACTGGTGTTGCTCAATGATCTGGAGGTGGTGATGGACTGAGGGCAGGCCTAGCAGCAGAGAATGCGTGTTGTACAGCACACAGTCTATTTATGCCGCGGAATCTGTTTAAGCTGTGCACTACAGCTAACAGTCTGCAGAATCTATTTTTTTAAAATTAGCGCTTTCTGGTGATGGCTGTAACCAAAGGGAGGACAAATTTTTTCCTGCCCAGAGTGGAGGATAGTTGTGTAAAGCAAATTATGTGTAAAAACCAATGAGTTGCTATGGCTGTATGGATGTGATTGAAGGGCAGTCTGTCCAATCATCTCTGTTCTGACTGAGATTTGTGTCGCTATATGTTTCCACAGAAAGGATACAATACTTAGAGGTGCTACAGAGTGTATTCACATAGCTGCTCAGAAATTCAGCACCTGCCCCCCAACCCCACCCAGTTTGTCTCAGTTCAAAGCCATTAAATCTCATGGTACTGATACGATGAATTTCCGCTGCCTCTATTGAGACCAGGAATCCCTGTCAACAAAATCATGTCCAAATTGAAGCTCTGATACAAGTGGGATCACCACTGCATTTGAGCTGCTAGAGCTAAGAGATTGAAAAATTAAGGGGTCTAAATTTCCTTTTGGAAAAGTGCAAGTTAAAATATAGTCATAGAGATGTATAGCATGGAAACAGACCCTTCGATCCAACTCATCCATGCCAACCAGATTCCTAGATAAATGTAGGCCCATTTGGCCCATATCCCCCTCAAACATTCCTATTCATATACCCATCCAGATGCCTTTTAAATGTTGCAATTGTAGCAGCCTCCTCCACTTCTTCTGGCAGCTCGTTCCATACATACACCACCCTCTGAGTGAAAATGTTGCCCCTTAGGTCCCTTTTAAATCTTTCTCTTCGCACCTTAAACCTGTGCCCTCTAGTTTTTAACTCCGCCGTCCCAGCGAAAAGACTGTCTATTTAACCTCTCCATCCCCTCATAATTTTATAAATCTCCATAAGGTCACCCCTCAGCCTCTGACGCTCCAGGGAAAATGGCCCCAGCCTATTTAGTCTCTCCCTATAGCTTAAACCCTCCAACCTTGGCTTTACTGAACTCTCAAGTTTCACAACATCAGCAGGGAGACCAGAACTGCACGCAGTATTCCAAAAGTGGTCTAACCAATGTCCTGTACAGCCGCAACACGATGTCCCAACTCCCATGCTCAATGCACTGACCAATAAAGGCAAGCGTACCAAACGCCGCCTTCACTCCTGTCTACCTGTGACTCCACTTTCAAGGAACTATGGACTTCACCTCAAGGTCTCTTTGTTCAGCAACAGTCCCCAGGATCTTACCATTAAGTGTATAAGTCCTGCCCTGATTTTGATTTTGGTTCCTTTTTAAGGCTAAACCATACAAAGTGGAAGTACGTTACAATTGTGAGAAGTTGAATTGCAGTTGGCCTGCCCACCGATTTTCTTTTATTTTGCCTTTAGTGGAGTTTTGAGAGTGCCTAGAAGCCCCTCTATAACCTGATTTGCCTGCAAGTGCACTCTGTCCAAAAAAAACACACAGTAATGCAATGATGCAGTGTATGTGATGTGCATTTACTATGACCTGACCTTGTACAGTAAAAGGGATCGAAAAGCATTTGAGTTAGGCCCTGGAAAAGCTCACTAAATATTTTGGGCTCAGCATGTGCTGTCTTCAGGCAAGTGTGACACAGTTAGACGGGCCCGTATGTTCCCTTGTGCTGCTGTGTGAAATTGCAGACCGTCTCCAAGGTCTTTGCTGTTTCAGTGAGAGGAGGAGGTGGGTGGGTGGTGCGAGTGAGTATTGATTGGACTTTTCAGGGCGATAACCTTGTGTTGATACGTTTCCCTGATCCACGCCTCAAGATGCTGGAGGAGGTTTCACTAGCCCTGTGCTGCCTGGTTATTGATGGTTACAAATCCACGTGGCTTCCTACACTTTCCACTCACAAGAACTGGCATCTTTCTGGTGCGATCCCTGTTAGCACAGCCGCCCCAGTGCAATGTTCCTTGTCTCTTTCCATCGCTACACATTCCATCCTCAAATATTAAAGAGCGGTCTGGTAAATGATAGTTTGGTTTCAAAAGTGTTAATAAATTCTTTTCAACCACACTCATTCAAAATATAATTGCGAGTTGTTCTGCTGTGATTTTGCACTCTAACTCCACTCCAATCAGTTGACACATTCAGATAACATGCGTGCAGCAAACCCACAGTTATCATCTGGAACTTGACCTTATTGCGGATTTTCCTGTTCTTCAGTGGAAATGGCTGTCTACTTCACTACAACTGGAGTTTCAGATCAGACAAATTTGACCTGTTATGATTTCACTAATTCAGCATCTGACTTGAACTGTGGTTAACAGCTGTGATTTGTGGTGCGTCGATTCTGGTTGCTAGTTGCTTAGTTTTTAGAGGAAGGATGCAATGGGGCAGCGTTTAGGAGCTGAGGTGCTAGAGGAAGGCTCTGGTCTGTGTCCAGGTTGAGGGTTCGTTGGGTATTGTGCACTAAACACCAGCTGGACACTGTTGTCGGATTCTGGTGATATCTGGCCAGCTTTCAAACTGTGTTGGGTGACCTCCCTGAGATACTCGCCTGGGGCTGCTATCGCAATTAATTCCTTCAGACAGTGGGGAAAAGGAAAATCTACATCAAAAACTGAGGGCATCAGCAGTGCACAACAGGGATTGCTGAGAGGAAGAGAGGACAAGCTGACATTGGACTAGCCTCCTTGTACTGTAGAAGCAGACTGTAACCAATGTACTCTGGAGTTCAGTTGTGAAGAAAGGTCTGCCCCCCACCCCGGCACCTCGGATATTCAGGTCGATACCTGAACCACTCGTACTGACAGATGTGTGTGTTTATCCTGTGTCATGCAGGAGTTTACACCATGTCTAGCTCTGTATGTGGAAGCACAGTGAATTGTGTAAATTGGGATCCATGTGTTGAGGGTTTTATATTTCAATAAAACGGGGTTTGCTCCACTGTTTGTTGTACCAATGTTGTTTTAGACTGTTAGAGTACGCAGTTATATTGTTTTTGCCTTGATAATGTGGGCCATTTTGTTGACAGCACATTTTCCTGTGTTTTCTGCCTCTGTTGCCCAGAACTCCAGAGTCGTACTTTCCAAGGTAATATAACAACCTGTGTACAATTTCCTATTTTAAGCTGTTTCCAATACGCACAATAATAAATTTAATTTAATGTACTCATCACGTGTGACCTTTTATTCTAGATCTTGTCTCTGGCTCTTTGTTGTCTGTAAACTCCTCACTGTGACCTTGCGTCCGCAGTGACCGGGAGTGTGTTTCTTTTTAACCACAGAATTTCTAGCTTAAATGATGTAATCTCGTGTTTTTTCTAGCCTGCACAGGCAGTACAATAAAAAAAATATTCTTGTGTGATGAGACGTGCTGGTAAACCACCAAATTAGTTTATTTTTAATAACAGATAAAAATGAGTGGAAGTGTTTATGATCTGTTAATGAAAGACTGCAATTCATTTCCTGCAATAAGAGGGACATGAGCTCTGTTAACACTTTTTGGGTGAATGCCCATTTGCAAGTCTTGATTTGTGTGTGTTACAACATGCATTTCTCTGTGAAAGGAAAAGATCAACAATCCTTTGTCTTCCTCCCTTAAGTTTTGGTGAACTGACCTATAAGCTACCAGTATTTGAATTGATATTTTCTCCCTTTTTGATCTGCCTGTTTTTTCAGCCTAGTCCCTGCTGGGCATATTAAATTAAAAAAAAACATTCTTGGTCGCTTAACTATGGCATGAAATGGTTTCCACTGTTTACTAAATTACCATCACAAAGGTCTGTGTGCATGGCCACTGCTTTAGCAGTTTTATATAAAAACATTGCTAAAAAAGAGACATGAAGTCATAGCTTTTTGCATCAGGACTGAAACTCAAGAAAGTCAATTTTAGCATGGAAATGACAAAGCTGATTGTTTGGACTATGACGATATGGCAAGAACTGTTAACTGTCAATCTTAGTTAACTGATTCAGTTCAAACCAGGCCCTGGCATTGCCCCTGCTGTATCATCAGGGCTCAGCTGTCACTTTGCAACCTTTTATATAGAAAGGGTTAATGTGTGGACCTATTCCTTTTGCCTGCTGAGTGCAGCGTTCTGTGTGTAAATGTTGGTATCAGTTGAGGCAATAAAGTGGCACAAATGGATTCAGTTGAACAATGGACAAAATTTGTGCGATTCACACTAGTGTAAAACAGTGTAGCTTACCCCTGCCACCAATCTGATCATATGTATAATCATAGAATCCCTACAGTGTAGAAAGAGACCGTTCAGCCCTTTGGGTCTGCACCGACCCTCTGAAGGTCATCCCACCCAGACCCCACCTTTCCCATGGCTAACCCACCTGGCCTGCATATCCCTGGAAAGACTGGGATAGTTGTTCCTGGCCAATCCACCTAATCTGCATATCTTTGGACCACGATCGTATTGAATGACGCGGGAGGGATGAGGGGCTGAATGGCCGCCTACTCTTGTTTTTTCTGCTTGTGGGGATGATGCACTGTAGGTGTGATGTCCCATGGAGTGTGTTGAAGAGTTTTACCAGAATGCCCCCAGTATGTTCAACTGCAAGACTTGGGAACTGATCAGGGGGCATATTAGACTCCACACTTAAACTCCGTTTTTCTCTCTCCACAGGTGCTGACATTCCGGCTGAGTTTGTCCAGCACTTTGTTTTCATACAAGACCCTGGATTTGTTAAAAGGGGGACACAGTACATAAGAAATGGAGGTTATGGTAAACTTGTGGGAAACACTGGTTTGGCCTTAACTAGAGTGTTCTGTACAATTCTGGGTACTATGCTTGAGGTGGATGGGAAAGTCATGGAGATATACAGTACAGAAACAGACCCTTCACTCCAACTTGTCCATACCAACCAGATATCCTAAATTAATCTAGTCCCATTTGCCAGCATTTGGCCCATATCCATCTCAACCCTTCCTATTCATGTACCCATCCAGATGCCTTTTAAATGTTGTAATTGTACCTTCCTCCTGCAGCTCATTCCATACATGCATCACCCTCTGCGTGAAAAGGTTGCCCCTCAGGTCTCTTTTAAATCTTTCCCCTCTCGCCTTACACTTGTGCCCTATAGTCTTGGACTCCCCCACCCCAGGGAAAAGACTTTGTCTATTTACCCAATCCATTTGGAAAGGGTGCAGAAAAGATTTACAAGACTGTTTCCAGGCATGAGGAACATGATCCAAGTGGGTAGGTTGGAGAACCTACCAAATCTGAGTCCAAATATGTGCAGGTTAGGTGGATTGGCCATGGAAAATGCAGGGTTACAGAGACAGGGTAGGGTCTGGTGGGATGTTATTCGGAGGATTGGTCTGGACTTGATGGGCCGAATGGCCTGCTTCAGCACTGTGCGGGGGTTCTAATGAAGCTGGGTCCGTTTTACCGGAGAAGTGAAGGTTAGGAGGAAATTGGGTGGAGAGGTTCAAAATCATGAAGGGTCTGGATAAAATGAATGGAAGAAAAACTCTTCCCTTTTTTTGGAAGGATGGAGGACTACAGGCCACAGGCTCTGTCACCTTCTCAAGGGCATTCGGGGTGGACAATAAACGCTGGCCCTACTAGTGACACCCACATCACAAGAACAAATATAAAACAAAAGTAGTAAAGGAAGCAACAGCTACATGAGAAACAATGTAATGCAGTGAGTGGTTAGGATCTAGAAAATATTGCCTTGAGAGTAGGCTGTGAGCAGGTTTAACCATGGCTTTCAATGGGGAGTTGGACAGTTCTCTGAAGAGAGAATATTAGCAGGGCTGCTGTAGAAAAGGTGGGAATAAGGATTCAAATAGCTCTTACTGAGAATGGGCCTACTTACCCACGTGCCCAGTGGTTGTCTCCTGTGCTAATGCCATCCTATGATTAATAGGAACCTTTTTTTTTAAGAAAGAAATCTTAAAAGCTCTCCCCTTTGACTTGGAGCCTAGTTCCCTAGCCTCCAACTCCATTTCCCTTCCTGGTCCCATATTCAAGCTGAATCGGATTATTCACCAACACTGTGTTCAAGTTGAATTTCTGACTGCGAAATTCCTTGCGTTGCCAACACTGTCTGCATCTGCCTGACCCTGTGTGAGCACAGCTGCTGCTGCAGAATCCCTCCAGCGTGTCTTTAGCTATCTCCACCCTTTCCTGGCTGGTATCCCATCATTGCTCCAAAAATGCGAGCTCGTGCGAAACCGCTGACCGTGTCCCGACCCTCACCAGACCTCTACCCCGTGACCCCGGTGCTCACTAACTCTCAATGGCTCTGTTTTAAAATGCTCATCCTCTTCCCTTTGCTGTGCTCTTTTCGTAAGGTGTTAACCAAGCCTTTGATCATTAATCCTTGTATCTCCCTTGGTATGAAGCACCACAGAATGTTCTACTGTGCCAAAGGAGCTGAATCAGTGCAAGCTGTTCAGCTATTTTGACTACAGAAGGTACCACAGCTTGCTCTGAACAACCCTGATTTGATTTGATTTATTGTAGTCACATGTACCTAAGTACAGTGAAAAGCATTGCTTGCAAGCAGTACAGGCAGATATTAGTAAGCAAAGGCATACAGATCAAAGGTGTTTGGAGTGAGGCATACAGATTAGAATTGCACAGCACATGTGAGATGCAAGATCACCATTAACAAGGTGAGTGTTGTTTGAAATTAATTCATTCATCTGTCTAATAATGGCAAGGAAGAAGCTGTTCTTGAATCTGTTGGTGCATGTGTTCAAGCTTCTGTAACTTATGCTGATGGAAGAGGTTGTAGGAGAGCATTACTGGGGTGCGATGGGTCTTTGATGTTGGCAGCTTTTCCACTGCAACAAGCTGTACAAATGGAGTCCGTGGATGGGAGGTTGGCTTCCATGATGGTTTGAGCTGTGCAGACCACAATCTGTGGTTTCTTATAGTACTGAGCAATGCAGTTGCCATACCAGGCCATTATGCACCCAGACAGTATGGTGCATCTGTAGAAGTTGGTGAGGGACATTATGGACATACCAAATTTGCTGAGCTGCCTGAGGAAGAAGAGGCATTGTTGTGCCTCCTTGACTGTCGCATCTACGTGGGTGGTCCAGGACAGATTGTCAGTTATCATCCCTCCTAGGAACTTGATGCTCTCCACTCTCTCAACCTCAGCTTCATTGTAAATGGGGGCATGTTCTCCTCCTTTCTTTCTGAAGTCAATGATCAGTTCTTTAGTTTTGCCAACATTGAGAGACATTGTTGTCATTGCACCATGCCACCAAACCCCTCTATCTCCTTCCTGTAACTCATTGTTACATATCCATCCTACCACAGTGGTGTCATCAGCGAACTGTAGATGGCGTTCGTTTGCAATTCACCCACACAGCCGTGAGTGTACAGGGAGTACAGTAGGGGGCTGGAGGATACATCCTTGGAAGGCTCCAGTGTTGAGTGTTATTGTGGAGGGGGTGTAGTTAGGAATGGGCCTGTCAGTGAATGAAAAAAGAAATCTGCTTCCTGGAGGTGGGGGATGGGGCGGAAATGTAGAAAGTCCTGTCTTCCTTCACCCCCTCACACAAAAACTGCAAATAAACAATGAGATGGTCATTGTTACCCTGATCACAATAACCTCCTCAGGGCCATCATCCTCCAGGCCTTTACTGACTATCTCCCTGCACGGGGAATTGAAGAGGTTTACAGGAATGTAATGTAGTTGACAACTCTGACGAAACTTTGCCAGATTGTGGAAGTCACTCTATTTTTGTAGGGGGGGTGGGAAAGCTCCTGGTCAAGAAATTCAGAGGAAGTTGTAAAACAGCAGGCACTGCTGTGATCTGTGTGTCACGAGCTGTCTTTAATCCTTTGATGTGATGAAATGAGTTTTACTATCCTGACTTTCTTGCCTGCCTGGATTCCATGGCAGCAGCTGTAAGTTATTACTTGATTCCTGATTACTGACCCTCTGGTGGTGGTATTGTCTGTCTCTCTCTCTCTCTGTATGTCTCTCTCACTCTGTCCTGGAATGATGAATGTCTGTTGTTGTGGGGAAATGGTGATGAATTCCTGTTACGATCACGCTATCAGTGACTGGGAGTGATGGCCACCCCCTCCCACAGTTGACTCTCTCCATGCCCTGCTTTCACATTCTCTCACTTTCCAAACTGAGACTTGCAGGCTGGCAAAGACTCCACGCCAAGGACTTTAAGATCTA